CTCAATGACCTTCCCTACACCATCCCACCCCCACAGCGGCTAAACACACCCGATCTATTGTATTCTACGATGATTGTGCCCTGTTCTATATTTATGCTTATTCTCTGAAAGCCCAGCTCACAGAGAGAAAACTTCAAAACAAATAACCGAGAAGGAAACTTCTGTAGGGAAAGTATCAAACTTACATCAGTATCATCATCGGACTCATTCTCTTCTTCATCGTCACATTCCTCATCTTCCGCCTCTTCTTCGGCTTCGTTGAAGTCGGAGTCATCTTCAGATTCATCATCATCCCTAAAAACATTATTTTACAGTCTTGCAACAGAGACCATGTCCAATTAGAGGGCCACTTGAACATATTCTAGCTGCGAGCGATGCCAGTCTTTATAAAAATAAAGAGAAACTGAAAACTCACTAATAATATGAATGACCAACGAAAACCACTAGACAGAACTTTCTGCTGAGGTGTATCAAAAAGGTGTGGAAAAGATTTCCTACCCAAAAGTTTCTGCACTTAAATTGACCAGTTTATCCACCTACTATTCCTACTGAGTCAGCGATAAAAATAAACATCTATTCCTGCCCCTGGGGTTAAACAAGCGGCTTCTCTGGGATGTTGATGATAAAAATAAACATGTATCAACATTAAATCCAATGCCGCTATAAATAGCACGGCACTGGGTGAAGTTGCTGAAAATAGTCTAGGTTTTTCCGACTGAGTGAACACAACTCTTCGTGAACCCTCTGTACATGCTCAGAAAAACCAGGGTAACGAAAGGAATAAGGGCGCAGTTTGCTGACGGGGAAGGGGGGGGGGGCATTTTGCACTTTCCTTGCGGGAGGCACTTGTTGGACATTAGGTGCTCTGTGTCCTTGCATCACTAGTGGTGGGGTTTACAAGGGCTCTGCACCTCTGGTGATCATCCTGGTGAACTTGTGAAAGCTCGCGTGAAGGCTGGGAGGCAAGCTGTTCTAAGCGGATCACATGGGTTAGTCAAGAGCTGTCCAATCGCAGAAGGGGCTGTCTATGTATGGGCTTCGCGGCTAGACTGAGCTCTGACATCGACTGGAACGTCCGTTAAAGTACCAGAATGCTCCCCCCCCCTCCTCGCTCCCGGCCCCCGCCGTCGGCAAACGCCTGCCTCTATGAATAGCCTTCGAACATACAGAAATAATTGACGGTTACTCCTATACTGTCTACCACTTTTCTTGAGCCTTTTTGGTAAATTTCGGAAACTTCGAATGATTCCTTGAAGTGACCTCCGGAAAACAAAAATCATCCATCAAAACTGACCCATTTCCGGGTTTTCATTATCAACTGATACGTTTTCAGCTTAGCTATGCAAAATCTTCAAAATACAGCAGCGGCGTACGAACCTTAGGGGAAAAAAGCCAATCGCTGGAAGAACTTCTTACTACCTACTGTCTACACTTGAAAGTTGAGATCGATAGTTCTCGAAATTCATCCCTGGAGTTAGATTAGCTTTCCGTTCCCGTACTCTGAAAACTAGGTCCCAATAAACACGAATTCAATCCGTTCGGAGCGAAAACGCCTGGAGCCAGCACCACAAGCCTGTTACAGCGTTTACAGCGCAGACATTCAGCGTTTTCGCGCTAAACAAATGTCATATTCGTATTCAGGGAATCAAAAGCACGCCGGGCGCTCAAAAACGGTGGATTGTGAGACTCACATACTAATGACAAGATGGTAAGTAAAAAAGTGAAGAAGGGAGCAGAAATACCCCGCTGGGAATGCCCTATATAGAACCCCATCTCTAACGGCGTATGTACGCACATAGGGCGAAGAATGGGCGTCGTTGGACGAGTTTTCACTTGTTGGCACCAGCTCCTTCGCTTTATCACTTCACTATTGTCATTCAAAATGCAGTGAGTTAGATGTGGAGCGACCGCACCATCAGGTCGCAGTTAAAAATGAAAGTTGGGCGGAGCCGCGCCCAGAGGGTGGAGCCGTAGTTCCGTCGCGAGCGGGTCGCGCTTTAATGTCGCATTTTCAAATAGTACGAAAGTAGTACATCCTTCCTCCATGCTGTGGGGCAGGACTATCATGTCTAGAGAAGACGCCAGAACATCAAGTGAACGTGCATAAGCTACCCCTGGGCCAAATTTTTGGCCAGACCTACCCCCAAAGACAACTTCTGATGGGAAATCTAGCCAGCGCTTTGGAAATTAGGCAAAAAGCCTAAGTATCACAGTGGGGATGAACGAGAAAATGAAAAACATAATAAAAATACTTACGCGATACCATCATCAGCCTTTTTATCGGCATTCACTGGCACTTTTTTCTGTTTCGTCTTGATAATTGGTGGTGTCTGTCCGTTACCCTCCAATTCTTTGTGCTCATCAGCCGGATGATCATCATTGTTTGCTGAGTTATTCGTGCTGCTAAACAAATAACCAGTAAATAACCGATAAGTTCTTATCGACCTGTTTCAAAATAATCAATATTTTTCGAAACTAATGACGATGATCGGTGGGTGCCTCCTTCATAGCAGCGACCGAATCTGCACTCTCGCTGGCATTCACTTCCGTGCTGACAGTGTCCCCTTCGCCATCTGTATTGATCAGCATGCTCAATACACTTCCTAAGGAGATTATCTTCACAAGTTCCAGAAAAAGCTGGTACATTTTTGATACGTCGAATAAGATCGACCTGTCAAAACCACACAGTCACCAGCTCAAACAAGACAAGCCGAATGACGATTTGCGGTGTAGACAGCCAAAATTTCCGGCCTACACCCTCTCGTTTTCACGCCCAGTGACTCGCCCGCAAGACTACGCTTTTCGGACAGTCTGCCTTGCAGGGAAAAACGATGCCACCGGACAAGTGGAGTGAAATGGAAGCTTCAATACCTCTTGTAGGTTCGTACGCTCATAGTAAGGGTCCAGCTGCCTGAATTCGTCCCCATACGCGCGGTCTTTCTCCTTGTAGTCATGCAGTTTTTGGAGGCGAAGGGGTTCTTTCAGTTACTAATCGAAGTTCTCCATTGCATTCTTTCTTCAAACACCAGTCCTTTGACTTCTCTTCATAATTTTGACACCATTACCGACGCTCCTCTTTGCAGACCGTGCCTTTGAGATGTCTGCACGGAGAAGTACGACAGGGTCATTCAAAGGCAACTGGCACGATAATTTGCTGCTCGCCCTGAGCGCTAGCAGGGCGCTGTAGCGGGAGCATTGCGAAAAAACGTAGTGAAACGGTCAAAAACCAGCGAAGAAAAGCCTTCGTCATTAACACTCAGGGAGCAGTTTCGGACGAGTTTCCCGTAGGCATCTTGCCAATAACCGTTAGGTAGGTACAGCTCCACGTACGTACTTATATATCCATGTAGCACCGCGGCCGCTTCCATATCAACCCCTTCGCTTCATATTTTACTTCGCAAATAAAGCAATACGAGCATTATAGGGTCGTCCATTTAAGGCGGGCGGGCGCGCTGGGCGTTTGGGTCGGTATGTTGCGGCCTGATAGGGCCTTATAATGGGGACACTGCTTGTAAAGGGCGCTACGCGACGCCTGCTCAGGTTGTGGAATTCCGTCCAGCCAGGCGTACTAATCCTATTCGATTTATCGTACCAGCTGCCTTTGAGCAGACATTCAGCGATTGGAGGATAGGCGGAGACCCATAACCAATGCGCCGTCTTCCCTAAAGCGCCCACCCTTTTCACGCAAGGGCGGGAGTAGGTCAACTAGAAGGGCGTGATGGTTTCGGGAACCCTCCCACCTATTTATCTTTCAACTTTACATGCAAACGGCATTCTTCTCATTTTCCCTAAAGGGAAGCGATTTATGCCACTAAGTTCACTTTATCGTAGAAGAAATGACCCAGGAAGAAAAGCTGGATTGAATAACTGACCGTTTCCCTCGGTTTTGGCACGTTTAGCCGGCTCTTGTGTCGGTGATCGGCTTTGTCGTTTACCTTTCGGACATTTATCTTCACCGCACTCCTGCTCTTCATTGTTACAGCAGATTTTCTGCAAATGATTTCACAGCCTTAATGGGACGAGACTTTAGTCAAAGACGTGGAACTAATTAAGCAATTACTATTCGAAAAATAAGATTACCCCATTCACCTCGGCTGAAGGTTTGCCCTTTGAAAGATTCCGTCCTATAACATATCCCTGCCTATAGAACCTGAAAAAAACATCCTTGAAAGGTATAAAATACGTAGCGCAGACTTAGGTTGACGCTAAGAAGCAGGAAGAAGCAAAGAATTATAGAACGGCAAGGAAAGTCCAGAAAGAAGCTCTCACGGGTCTGGCAACATTCGATCGGAATGAATAACCGCGGAACTGGGAAACGAATAAAGCTATGATCGAACACTTCGCTTACGTTGTAATTTGTTCTGCCAAAGAGGTTGGTAGGTGGAAGACTTTATTATAAATGGCCTGACGTTTCGACAGGATCGTCGTCCTCAGAGGCCTAAACATAGCTCAAGGTTTGGATGTTGTATCCACTAGACCGCCAAACGCCTCGACACCCTAGCGTTTTTGGCGAAATCTTGGTAGTTCTCTTAAGATTTCGCCAAAAACGCTCGAGGCGTTTGGCGGTCTAGTGGATGCAACATCCAAACCTTGAGCTATGTTTAGGCCTCTGAGGACGACGATCCTGTCGAAACGTCAGGCCATTTATAATAAAGTCTTCCACCTACCAACCTCTTTGGCAGAACAAATTACAACTTAAAGTTCACTATAATGCCGAGGTTTTATGAAGAGTGAAGCTGGACACTTCGACGATTCTAGGCAAAGCAAAACATTCAACAAAAGCCACAAAGGAAGCTACAGAATTGCGCAGTTTGGCTTGGTGAGACCTTTTGCTGGTTCCCACCAATTACGCGCTTCCCATGAGAATCTGTAAAATCTTGTAGATCTATGCCACAGCTCGATCTTTGTTCACACCGGACAAAAGTCTACAGATCCCACTAATGCTAAACAGGTAAGCTGCCAGAAACTGTACTACCAGTGTCTATCCCCGCACACCTAGTAAGCCATAAAACCGTGAAAAGTAGAAGAGAATCCTAGAACATTATAAAGTTTTATCCTACTTCTCGAAGGATTTTCCCGATTTGCCACAAAACACCAGATTATGATAAAGGTGTCTGAGCCACACACAAAGACAAACACCGTGGATCCTTGTGATTTTTGGGGAGATTGGGGCTGCAGCAGTAGTAGCACACCACTTGCTCTGCTTATGACTGCGCGCGAACGGGGCTGAAGGGTAGTGGAACCCCGTTGCCGACTTCATATTCTACCTCGCTCTGCCGCGCGTCCACATATACTCCTTATCCCTGAGATGGGGTAGACGTGGCATCCGAACATGACACAGAACTGCTTACCCGCGGATCTTTCAATTTGAGACAATTCTTTGTTGGACAGAGACGTGACCACATTGGGTCAAAACGAAAATATCTCTACAAAAGCATAGCCACCACGCTAGTTGAAGTAAGCAGCCACGCCTACCTCACCTCAGGGATTTCGAGTGTATGCCTGATCGTAGCTAAAAGCGCTACTTGCCTGCGCCTTCCTACTTCTAGCTTCGAGTAGTAGCGTCGAGTACTTCGCTGCGGGACCTTGGCGAGGCAATGGCTGCTCCTCGAAGGTAGTAGTGAGTATGGAGACGACATTTAGCATCACTTCTTTCAAACCTCGTCCCGTGCGATTTTGCAGTTTTCAAAGAGCTCTGAGAACTTGGAAAGTGCACCACGCTTGAGCAGTAGCTGCATTATGTTTAATCAGTAATGCTGTGCCTTTAGTGAGTAAGGACAGATAGCCAAGTAGCACACGCACACCGTTCCCACTATCACAATTTCAAAGCACAAGGGGGAACAAGAATAAGGAGACACAACAGCACGAGGAAAAATCACATGAATTTGCTGAATTTTCTCGTGAAACTAAATTGTAAACACAATGTTAGCGATAAAATAGTGCTATGTGCAATGTTTAGGGTAGCAAAGTAGTGCTACCCTAATCACAACCTAGGGCCTAGAAAAGGAGGCTGCAATGCGCAGTGGACAAATGTGGTAAGTTACCTGGTCCTAACTGCCAACCTCAATGTGGCATCACGCAGAATAGGTTCGATTTTGAATCCTACCGCCAAGGTTCGCTATGACCGTGGCCAATAAAATCCAAGCTCACCTAGACAAAATCTCCTCTAATGGCATGGCACTTTCTTCAATGGTTTGTATTCTGTCACATTCATCTGAGCTATTATCGCAATCATCGTCTCTATCAGGAACGTCTTCACTTTCTTTCGCCAT